ATGGCATGCCCACTCGTTTCCGAACCAGATTACTTTGCCTTATCTTTACAGTTTTAACAATGCACAGGTTCTGTATGTCAATATAGTTTTTAATACGATCAGTAACCGTAGGTTGTGCATGAACAAAGATCTCCCTAGCCTCGCTTAAGTTGGCTTTGACCACCCTTGAGGCCAATGGCGATTTGAATGGGACCTCGTCATCAATATACATATGAACGAAAATTCTATTTTGGCGGATAGATAGCGTCCTAGACGTCGTTACTAACCAACCTGCCGGTACAAACCAGAGCTTTTAGCATCTGGCCTCAATTCAGGTTCAATCCAAAAAGCCAGTTCATACTTGTTGGTTGGTTGATGTATTCAAGACGGAGTTAGGCACATGATGGATGTAGAACGAGTAAAGTAGATGATTTTCGGGATTTGCGTCCTTCATTCTAGACTAAATGATACATACGAGAGGCGGCTTCCCATTTCAATTCAAAGTCCTGAACCTATGAGCCATCAATTTCCATGGTTGGGTCTGGTTGAGTAATCGCAGAGGCCCTCGCCGCAGCAGTTGCTGCCTTTCTTTCAGCAATGAATTCTTGAATTCGCTTTTGTAACTCCACGTCTATTAAATTATATTAGTGCTTGTTCCATTGACTTGAATATAGACATACGTGGAGTTACATCCTCAAGCTTCAATGGAACTCGATTGAATGGGTCAGTAGGGTCGGAGAGTAGATGCGACTTGATGGTTGAGAGGTCGACGACTGCCTTGGAGGAAGGAAGAATCACAGGCTCTCTCATGAGAGTAGCCATGAGAGGATCTTGTCGGATAATGTGAGCAAATAAGATCCTGGATAATACTGGACCACATACCCTCAAATTCGTCAGGGTACTCGGTAATTTCTTCTTCGTCCATAGCTAATCTAACTTCTTCCACCCGCTCTGCAAACTTTGCAAACACCTTGAGTTCATCCGTACTCTTAAGGACTCGTTCGCTAGCGATCTTCAGTGCTCTTTCGAAAAGACTTTTGCTGTAGCTTCTTCCTTCACTTGCAATAGCTTGAACGAAAGCCGGTTCAGTGCTGAGGTTGACATATATCTGAAGGACTTGGCTCAG